GGGGGGGGGGGAACCAGGTTTGCTGGTTTGATAGAGCCTGATGAACCCCTGAGACTATGGCCCCTAGCCACCCTTCGTGTCTGGAATTGAACCCACATCTGTGGCTTCCAGCCAAACAAAAGACAGGCATATGAGTTGAACATTTACCTGAGGTAGATACACTCCTTGGAGAGATCAATCATGGGAGAAAGAAGGGCTATTTATGCACAGGGAGACAGCTGAGAGGGCAGGAGTGCATGAAGGGATGGACACAGGGAAGAGGTAACTATTGGGAGGAAGTGGGACGGGAGCTATTGCATTGGGGTAAATTGTGGTCAGTGTCATGAGACAAAGTGAACTGCTGTCTGGAAAGTGAATTTGCTCCGAAAATTTTCACCCGAATCACAATTAAAGAAAAAAAAAAAAGATTTACTGCCTCAGAAACCCAAAGGGTGTCACTGTGAGTTGGAATTGACTCGATGGCAGTGAGTTTGCGTAAGCTGAAGGTACCATTTTGAGATGCCTTAACAGAAAGTCTCTGTTTTTAATGTACTTCTTAGTTTCCTATGCCTCTGGAAAATTATAAATACAAATGAATATACATTTTAAGTAAAATATTTCATTTGGATATTTTAAAGGATTGATGAGGTCCTCTGGGTAGGTTCCATCCTGAGAAGACCCTTATTGGTCCTTGGGAATTTCTAAGTCACTGACATAGAGGTCGGCCTTGATGAGCTGAGACTGTGAGGCCCTACTGTTCTGTTAGAGCTTGGTGTCGAGAGGGTGAGTTCACGCACTAAAGCCATGATGTGTCCTTAATTTGAGAAGCAATATTTACTGTTGTTATAGGTCATTGACATTATTTTGTCATTTCTTTGTAAAAAGACTGTAAGAAAATAAGTGAGATTTTCAGGTGATTTGTATTAACTTTGATTTCCTGGATTAAAGATTGGTTTTCCTACCATACATTTGTAAAAATGTTGACCTTAGGTATTTTCTGGATCGTGTGACTGTGTATTACCAGTCCTTAAGCTAGTGACTGCTACATTAAGACCTTAGTCTCAAATGGGTGCTTACCTTCCATTTGGCATCCCATTCCCCCTGCTCTTCCCCCTCATGACCCCCAATATGCGGTCCACAGAGATTTCTGAACGTTGACTGGCCTTTTGCACAGGTAATGTGTAGGCTGCCTGTGTAGGGTAAGAGTTTTTGCTGTGTTGCTGGTTCCCACATCTGTCTGGTGATCAGAGCTACCTAGGAACTTTGGCCAAATGTGAAGTTCTCCTGGCCTCTTGAATGATCATGTTTGGAATGGGGCCTTTGAGTATGTAGGTGATTGTGATGCAGCTGAACCCACAGCTGGAGTGTGAAGACCTCTGTCTGGAGATACAAGGCAAGGAGGGAGGCCCACCTATGGGCATTCCATTCTGAGGTCTGTGGTTTCAGGCCAAGAAGGCCCCTGAGTCTATTGATTAAATTTTATTTTCTGCCCTTCTATTCCTCACATTTCAGGGATTAATTAAAAGCCCCAGGAAATGACTTCAGAAGTTCTCTACCTTTTAGAGTGGTCCTAGACTAGAACTGATTTTTAGGGACGTGCTGGTGTGTTTCAGCGTTTCAGGCCAAACTGGAATTGGCGAGTGGCTTTTCCGTACTCCCATTGTGGTGAAAGCATAGGCTTACCTTGTTTTTGATAAATCACTTAATGAAAATTTAACCAAAGCTTGCTTCTGCCAATATTTTATAATTGGCTGGTTAATAATGTTCTCTGCATAGCTGGCTAAGAAGAATGGGGGAGAAGTGTGGATCTCGTGACATTACCCTTCTGACTTGTTACAGACTCTTGGAACTTCTGTTTCTCAGAAGAAAGTTTTTATTTTGTCCTATTGACTAGTGAACATCATGAAAGACTTTATTGACTCACTTCTTTGTGCAAGGCACAGACCACCATAGGTGGTGTGGGTATCAAAAACATAGTCTACTATGCAGGGACTTAAGAGTATGGTTGGGGAGTTTAATGTGGGAAAAATGGATGTGGTACTAAGTTGTACAGTGGACCCCTGACACACTTGGGGGTGGGGAGTTCAGAAATATTGAGTCACCAAATTGGTGACTACCACTAGCTGCAGTACCAGTTTCTCCCTGTCTTCTGTGTCTGCCCCATAAGCAGGAAATGGTAGCATAAGACTTTGAGGTGTTGGCACAGTGAAGCACCTTTGTTGCTTATAACAGTAAGGAATTACCTCAAGAACTTACATCACCCACTGCCAGTACCGGGGTGAGGACTATTGATGCTGTGGACATGGACAGTAAGTGGCACAAGTGGTGAGAGTTCAGAGAAGAGACCACTGTCAGCTCTCTGGAGCCACAGTGCAATTGGCTGGACTTTACAGGCTAAGGGAAGTCATTCTAGGTGGGAGATACTGTGGAGGGAAGAGTGGAGGTGGCCGGTGCAGGCTTGTTTGGTCAGTGTAGAGAACTCTGAGGGCTGTGGTGGAGAGCAGAGCTGATGAAGTTGGAGGAAGCCAGACTGGCCAAAGCAGTGAAATGTTAGAGATGGCGCTTGGTCTCCTTCATCCCATCCTCCTGTGAACAGCAGCCTGTCGTTCAGGACTTTGTAATGTGTGCGTACACTACGTCACTACGTACAACTGATGTTTTTTATTATTATTATTGAATAAAGTTGATACTGGTTGGAATAACTAAAGATATTGTATTGACAGTCTAAGGAAATTTATTTTTATGCTTTACACAGTTTGCACCAATATTTGGTTTAGGATACCACATGATAGGAGAGAAAGCCTTCCTCAGGTAAAGTCCAGATAATAAAATAGCCCGTGTTGGTTTTCTGGAAGTAATGCCTGCCAGCCCTCTGAGAGTCAGGAAAGGATCATTCACTTCCTTGGCCTGTTTATTGACTTGAGGCCCAGTCTGGCATAGCCTCTGGGAGTGAGCTCCCTAAAAGAGGAGGGACGGATTTGACGCCCAAACAGATGGTATCTTCAGCCTGTGTCTGTAATGCCAATTGGATTGTCAGTGTGCAGCTGAGTGCTGGCTTAGAAGCTTCCTTGCAGTGCAGAGCTGGAGAACAAAACGCTTGGGCCCTTGATTGTTACGCAGTTGAAGCTCCTGAGCAGAAGTGGTGGCATGTTTGTGCTGCTTGAATGTAGTTTAGTCCTAAGGGGTCAGCCTCTAGGCCTGGAGCAGTTCAAGACCCCACTAGTATTCTGGAGTATCAGTTTTAATACCTAACAGTGCCCTGGGCTGTCTGAAGTTGATGAAATCATATATTCTTACTAAGCTGAAAGGGAGAATTCATTGCTCTTACCTAAAATGAGAAATTAGAGAAAAAATCTGTGAGTCCTGGTGTTCTTAGAAAAGCTTGGCAAATTTGATGTTTTCCTTTTTTTAAAAAAAATACATGTATATATATGTATACACACACACACATATATTTATATGCACTCTGGTAGCATAGTGCCTAAGGCATTTGACTGCTAACCAGAAGGCTGGCAGTTCAAACCCACCAGCACTCCTCTGAAGGAAGACTGGGCAATCTACTTCAGTAGAGATACTGCCTTGAAAGCCCAAGAAGGGGTCGCTATGAGTCGGGATCAACTTGACAGCAGTGAGTTTGGTTTCAGTTTGGATACACACACACACACACACACTAGATCAAAAATGTAAAATTGTACAGTGAAAAGCCTTCTTTAGTCCCCTGCTCCCAGCTGCCCATTGTCCCTACAAATAAACATGAAACCACTTTTTATTAGTTTCTTCTAAGTCATTCTTACAGTTACAAACAAATAGGAATATGTGGTCTCACTCTCACCCCTTGTACATGGACGTATAGCACATTGTATGTGCTGTTCTATGCTCCTGTATTGCTTGAAGACGGGAGCAAAAGCAGTTTAATAAAGGTTGCTTTTAGAGAAGGTGCTGCTTGGCCTGATGGGGATTTACCTGGAGTTGATCATCAAAGCTAACAGTATAGTTTCTGACAAGGTTTTATGATGATGATGAACTTTGATATGTAAATGGTACCTGCAGAACTTAGTGGGTGGGTTGTGGATTGTCAGTCATGAAAGTTCTTGTTTTTATCCAGCGTGGCCTGGGATAATTGTTAGTCTTCTATCTTTTTTGTAGGAGCTCTGATAGCATAGTGCCTAAGGCCTTGACTGCTAACCAGAAGGCTAGCGGTTCAAACCCACCGGCCACTCCTCAGAAGGAAGGTTGGGCAGTCTTTATTCTGTAATGATACCTCCTCGGAAACCCAAGGAGGGGTCACTATGAGTCAGGGCACATAACAACAACACAACAATGGTTTTTTTGTGGGAGCTCTGGTGGCGTAGTGCCTAAGGCATTTGACTGCTAACCAGAAGGCTGGTGGTTCAAACCCACCAGCTTCTCCTTGGAAGGAAGGTTGGGCAATCTACTTCTGTAGTGATGTTGTAGTTGTTGTTATGTGCTGTCTCAGAAACCCAAGGAGGGGTTGCTATGAGTCGGATCTGACAAGTCTTTTGCTATCTTCAAATGTCGTAGCCCCTTCCTTTCCTTGGGTTTCTCACGTAAGCAGCCTGCCTGACCATGGCAGCAGGTGGTGCTCTTCAGCCCTCTGCCCACCCCCCCTGGCATTCAGTGTGCTGTGCTACTGCAAGGGGTTAGTTTGCTGGATGTGCCCTAAGAACATGAAGACAGACAACTTAGATGTCATTCATCTCCATAATAATGCAGCGCTGGGCATAAAATCGTGGCACATTAAACAGCCTGTTCTTAAAAGATCGAAGTTAACATAAATATTTTCCTCCCTTGGGATTCCTTCCCTCCTGCCCCCCAAATTGATATATTAGATCCTCATCTTTAATCTTTGTCCTCATTTATTCCAGATCAAGTAGTAATAAAATTAATTTGTTTTTTTTTTTAATGACTTAAGTACTAAGTTGACAGAGAATGGTCCACATTTGGGATGGCAAGTTGCAATGACACTAAATTAACTTTATGTTTTCTGTAATCTATTCCAGCAACTCTACCAGATCCTGACAGACTTTGATATCCGGTTTTATATGTATGAACTTCTTAAAGTAAGTGGCATTCATAAACAGTGAATTTTTTCAGGCCTTTTCACAAAAGGAGAAGTGTTTGAGAGGACAGAGAACCCAAGCTGAATATTTCTTGATACCCAAGAATTCACGGAGGCTTTTATTACTTCTCTGGAGGCCTCTATCATGGAGGCTTTACGCAGAAATTTCCGGTGGAACTGAGAAAGAGAGCCGGTTCAGGGGTACCAAGGACGTCGTATCGGAATTAGAACCCCTCTCTCCATAGCTCTTCTGGCTCTTGGGTTTTCTTTTTGCTGCTTCCTTAATACTTACTATTGGTTAGTTTTTGCTGTGTGAAATATGACCCCAAACTTAATGGTATTTTTTTAAATGATTTATTATTTCTATTTATTATTTCTGTGGGTTAGTTGAGTGGTTCTTTTTGCCTGAGTCAACTCAGCTAGCTGGGGAAGATGATCCAGGATGCCTAGGCCTCAGCTGAGATAGCTGAGCTTCTGTCCACTGGTCTCTCATCCTCCAGGAGGCCAGTCTTAGGCTTCCTTCCCAGGTAGCTCAGTCACCAGCAACAAGAGAAGAGCAAACGTCGATGCATAAGCATTTTTCAGGTTTCTGTCTGTGTCATGTGTGTCATACCCTGTTGTCCAGAGCAGGTCTTGTGATCAAGCCTGGCTTCAAAGGGCAGACAAATAGGTTCCACTTCATGATAGTAAAAATGTCTTAGTCACATTGTAGAGGGACTTTCATACAGGGATGGCAGACTTTGTGGCCATCATTTTTTCCCATCTCTCACTATCTCCTTGTACAATACCACCTACCCTTCCCCTCTAGCCCAGGCTAGTTGATGCTAACATACAGGAAGAAGTGGTAGGTGGACCTTACAGGAGACGTACTAATCCCAAGCATTAAGGAATTTTGAAGCATTACTGACTGACCCCAAAATGATCTTTTTTAAAAATCTGCCTAGGGTCACTATGAGGAGCTCTGGTGGTGCAGTGAGTAAGGCATTTGGCTGCTAACCAGAAGGTTAGTGGTTCAGACCCACCAGCTGCTCTGTTAGAGGAAGGTGAGGCAGTCTACTTCCATAAAGATTTACAGCTTTGGAAACCCTGTGCAGGTTGCTATGAGTCAAAATCGACTCAGTGGCAGTGCGTTTAGGGTTACCATAAGTCAAAATTGCCTCAGTGGTACCTAACAACAGATAGACACTTAAGTCGGGAATGCCAAAATGTTTGTAAAATGAAGAGACTAGTAATTCCTTAGCTTTTAGAATAATGGATCAATAAGAATCTGATTGAAGTTGTCCAAGACTTCATATTACTTAGTTCAGTGCCAAGGGAAGCAGCAGTCAGGAGATCAGATGACATACAGCAATGGACAAATCGGGCAAAAGACCTCTTTCAAGAGCTGAATAGCAAAGATACCTCCTTGAAGATTAAAGTGCGCCTGACACAAGCCATGGTATTTTCAGTCGCCTCATATGCATGTGAGAGCCAGACAGTGAATGTTGTTGTTGTTGTTGTTGTTGTTGTTGTTGTTATGTGCCATCGAGTCAGACCCAACTCGTAGCAATCCTTTCTTGGGTTTCCACGGTGGTATCACTACGGAAGTAGATTGCCCAACCTTCTGAGGAGTGGCTGATGGGTTTGAACAACCAGCTCCCTGGTTAGCAGTCAAGTGCCTTAGGCACTATGCTGCCAGAGCCTCCTGGACAATGAATAAAGAAAACCAAAGAATGGTTGACACTTTTGAGTTGTGGTGCTGGTGAAGAATGCTGAAAGTATCATGGACTGCTAAAAGAACTAACCAGTCTGTCCTGGAAGAAGTGCAGCCAGAATGCTCCTTGAAAACAAGAATGGCCAGACTTCGTCTCACCTACTTCGGTCATGTTGTCAGAAGGGACCATTCCCTGGAGAAGGATATCATGCTTGGTAAAGTGGAAGGTCAATGAAAGAGGGGAAGGCCCTCAACAAAATGGATTGACACAGCAGCTGCAGTGATGGGCTCAGGTGTGGTGCGGATCGTGAGGCTGGCACGGGCTGGGCAGCGTTTCGTTCTGCTCTACACAGGGTCGCTGTGAGTCGGAGCTGACTCAGCAACACTAACAACAGTAACAATCTGATGAAAGATAGGAACTCCCCCCCACAAAAAATGCATGTATGGACTTGTAAAGTTTTGCATGAAATTTTAGGGGGTTTGTGGATGTTAGATTAAGAAGCTCTAGGATAAGATAAAGATAACTTGTAAGATATTGGTATTATTAAAGAAAATTAAAGATGGAGTTGTGATGGAATTGACCGAAATATCAAGTTGAATTAAAGCAGAGCTTTATGAACTGGGCATTTGAGGAACTACCCCTGCAGTATGTTTTCTTAAAAGCACTTGCACGACCCACTTATCAGAGCCAAGGCTCTGGGTTTAAGGACTCAACTATTCTAATGTTCTTTTGTCAGTAAGAACAGAAGGATGAAGAAAATGGAGCCGGATTTGCTCCACCTCTCTCCATGTCCTTTCCAGACTAGAATGCAGGGCTCAGTGTGGAAAGGGTTTGCAGGCCACAGTCCTGACAGCTGCCGGGCTAATGTTATTCTTGGCAGTTCTTCCTCGAGAAACCCTGCATTCTCCCATGAGAGCTACAGGCCACATTTAATAATTGATTATTTTTAAGGAAAGTATTGTGGTTTTTAGCTACCACCAAAGGTGAAGATTTGTAACCTAGCACAATTGTCCTTTAGATCAGATAAAGACATCCCAACTGTATAGATCTTCCCAGGCTGGTCATTATAGGATACTCAGTGTCTAATGTCATTTCTCCTTTCTAGAGGCAGCAGCTAGGCAGTAAGGGTGTCCTTCCATCTGTTAATGAGGCATAGATTCCCAGATGAAAGCTGAAAACCGTCTTTCATGCTTAATGGTCCAAAACTGTACCAGATTTTAAAACTGAAATAATTCCCTAGGGAATTGAAAAGTCTGTCAGTAACTCCACAGAGAGTCTGACTGGTGAACTTGGCAAAAGAATTAATTACCTCACTCTATTTGTTCAGCCTTTGCTTTCATCAGGTATTTTTCACATCCAAGGTATTGTGGTCCTAATTAGTTTATTCCTTTGGGCAAAGAAAGGCGAAGCAGAGAACAGAATCAACACTTGCTTGATTTTTCTACTTGAAAAGGGGATGGAGAAGAGGAAATATTTGACTTCATTTAAGCCATAAGAGAAGCTGAGGCTGAGGGCTGCAGACAGATTGCTCAGTGACTCGAGTGCGGAAGGTTTGTGGTAGATTCCAGTCTCCTGATTCAGAGAAGTGTGCCCTCAGGAGCTCTGGTTTCATAAAGTACTGCTGCTGAGCCACTTTCAAATCTTGCTACAGCTATTGTTGTAAAACAAAACAAAGAGAAAAATAATGAGTTGAAGTGGAACTTAGTAAGTAAAGTGACCCAATCTTAAGTGTGCAGTTTTTTAGATTTTACACATGGTTAGAGCTTCACCCAGATCTGCGTAGAACTGCACTGACCAGTAGAATAGGTCCCACCCACAGGTGGTTTTTGGAATTAAGTAAAAATAGAAATTCACTTCCATCATCATGTAGCCACATTTCAGGTACCCAATGGCCTCATGTGACTAGTAGCTACCATAATAGGTAATGCAAGTAAAGAATATTTTTGTCATTATTGAAAGTTCTGTTGGGCAGGGCTGATAGAGAATATGGGCACTCTGGTGGCATAGGTGTCCAAGGCATTTGACTCCTAACCAGAAGGTTGGCGGTTCAAACCCAGCAGCTACTCCTCAGAAGAAAGACTGGGCAATCTACTTCCGTAGAGATACCGCCTCAGAAACCCAAGCAGAGGTCGCTATGAGTTGGAATTGACTTGATGGCAGTGAGTTTGGGTTTTTTGGGGGGGCAGGGGTAGAGAATATTAAGAACACCCTTAATGGCTCTCCTGTGCCCCTCCCTTCAGTAGCCCTCTCCTGGATGTACTAGTCTAACCGCTATCGCTGTGGTTTAGTTTGGCCTGTTAGACTTTTGTATAAATAGCACCCTACATTGGGTACTCTTGTGTCTGGGAAAACAAAATCTGATGTGGGCCAGGGCCCCTTACTTCTGGAATGTGGATCCTAGGAATCATCTTCTAGCCCCTGTATTCCCTCCCACAGTAAAGAGGCCTCCTAGTGTAATGCTGCTAGTGGCCTAGTTCATTGTTTCTCAACTGGGTCAGATCTATCCCCCAGGGACATTTGGCAGAGTCCGGAACCATTTTTGGTGGTCACAGCTGGAGAAGTGCTGCTAGCATCTGTTGACTAGAGGCCAGGGATTCTGCTAAACATCCTGCAACACAATAAAGAGTTAGCCAGCTTCAAATGTCAGCAGTGCCAGGGTTGAAAAACTCAAACCTTAACCTGTGGAAGTCTCCACCAAAGGGCACTTGGTAGGTCCCATATGATCATGGGCTGCTGTTGTTATTAAAGAGCCCTGGTGGCACAGTGCTTAAACACTTGGCTGCTGACTGAAAGGTTGGCAGTTCAAACCCACCAGCCACTCCATGGGAAAAAGCTGTGGCAGTCTGCTTCCATAAAGAAACCCTATGGGGCAGTTCTACCCTGCCCTAAAAGGTCACTATTAAGTCAGAATCAACTTGTTGGCAACAGATTCTGGTTTTATCATTACTACCCAAGGAGTAAGTCATGGAACTTGTGTAGGATTCAAGCACTTTTTTAGGCAAACGGAGGAACCTAACTTAGAAATTAATGAAAATGTTTATTGTCTTAGGCGGGGGAGAGTTAGGAACAAATTTTTATATTTTTTTTTAAAAAAAGAAAAAAACTGACCAAAAAAGACAAACAGTGCAAGTGTTGTTAAGAACGCAGAGAGAGTGCAGCCCTCTTACGTTACCTGTAGAACTGCAAAGTGGTGCAATTACTCTGTCAAACAGGCTAGCAGTCTGCCTGAGAGAAATGAAAGCATATGTACCCTCAAACACTTGTACACAAATGTTCGTAGCAGCATCATTTATACTGGCCAAAAGCTGGAAACAGCCCAAATGTCCATTGACTGGTAGATCCATATAATAGAATACTACAAACCAAGAAGAAGGCAACATGGATGAACCTCAAAAACATGCTGAGTGGAAAAAGCCAGACAAAATACTGTGTACTGTATGATTCCACTTACATGAATGTCGAAACAAGGCAAATCTGTAACATCAGATCAGTGAGAGATCTGGGAGTGGTTGGGAGTGGGGATTGACCGCAAACAAGCTCTAGGGAAAGCCCTAGTTTGGAACATGATGGCATAGCTCTCTATAAATGTCCTGGAAATCATTGGCTTGTGCATTCAGAAATCTTACTAGGAAATAATTCTCTCAGAATCATAATTTTTTTTTTTTTTTTTTTTTTTTAAGAGAGAGGAGGGGCCTGGGCCTGGGGGCCTGAAAGAGGGAGGGAAAAGGGAGAGAGGACAGGCCGGAGGGAGATGAACCAGCTGGAGGGCCGGCCCTTAGAATCAGAATTCTTGAAGGCCCACTGGCTCAGGGATGGTATTTAAGGAAAATACTAATGACTATTAGAATGCTTGTTAATCTGGAAAACCTGCAAGGGATATTTGTCTAAAAGACAAGCCACATTGAGAGTTAGGTTCAGATGTCATTCTTAATGTTCACATGGATTTTACATGTCTTTTGAACCACTATAAGAAGTGAACCCAGTGATGTTTCCAGATTGGCTTTAAGCATATCAAATTAGGCCAACAACTTAATATATGATTTTTAACTCCAAGCGGCCAATACATTGCTCCTAGCTATAAATAGGAAAGGAGTGCCTAAAGGGTGGTGTTCTTTTTTTTTTTTTTTTTTTTAAGAAATCTTCATAGCGCTTGATGTTCCCTGCATAGCCCTCTTTCTCCAAGCTTCCAGCTGTCATGTGCAAGGAGAGCAAGGGGTACCTTCTGAAGCATGTTTTTTTCTTTCATTACAGACAGTAAGCTGCCCCTTGGGAGACTATTCAAGTCAAAGTGTCACAAGCAGAAATAACAAGAATATACTTGCATTGGGCGATGGTAGAGGGTTTACTTACTTTTCTCTGTGCTTTTTTACCTAATAGGCTCTGGATTACTGCCACAGCAAGGGAATCATGCACAGAGATGTGAAACCTCACAATGTCATGATAGATCACCAACAGAAAAAGGTACCATTGCAGCCAGGCAGCAACAAGCCTCTTATTAGAAGGCTTGGAGCAGACCACAGTACTCTCCAGTACCTAGGTGGTTTTCGTAGACCTCTGTGCTGTTTTCTTTGGAGGACTTCTGTTACCGTTCTGCCAGTTTTCAAATGCTGGTTTCTACTTTGTGTGAACATAGTACACAAGAAAAGTAGACAGTTGTCCCTAATTGTAGTCACTTGTTTCCTTTGGTCATAGTGTTCTGAAGGGCCTCAAGAAAGAAACTATAGCTGATGGTTACTGCTTCATTTCTTAATGACTTTCAGACCAATCAGCCTGACCTTAAAAGTATTTGTGTCCCTTGTATTTTCAGTGCCCAACTATGATTGTCCCTGATTAATGAGTAAATAAATCAGCTAGTATTAGAGTAATGAAAAACTAGAACACTGCTTCCGTCCTGGAGTGGGGCATATGCTCCCAACCCTCTCCGTTACGCTTAGAACTTATAGTGAAAACTGTTAATGATGAGAGAGTGTGCTGCACATGGAAGAGATAGGGAGGCAGAAACAAAGACTGAATGAATTGGTTTGATTGGAGAGAATGACAAACCACGGTCCTTTTGTTGTTGTTGTTGTTGTTTAAATGGCAAGTAAGATTCTGAGTGTTCTGCTTTGGAGATGACTCCTTATGCAGTTGCTAAACGTAATTTTCTAGCCGGTGCACCTGGTCACATTTTTAATACGGCCAAATAACTGTGACCTGATGTGATGGCCCTTTGTTCTAAGGCCCAGGCCTCTGGAAACATGCCTTTCACGTGTTCTGTTTCTGCTGTCTTTATAGCTGCGATTGATCGATTGGGGTCTGGCTGAGTTCTATCATCCTGCTCAGGAGTACAATGTCCGTGTAGCCTCGCGGTACTTCAAGGGACCCGAGCTTCTTGTGGACTATCAGGTACAGGGCTTCGCAAAGCTGCTCCGGTTCTTTTTATACTACCTTGGTTTGCAGTTTATTTTGTCAGTTTAGGTATGTTTAAAACTCAGTCTTTATTCCATCCCAAGAGGCTAATACCAGATTTTTCTCAGTTGCCATTTTTTGTTTGTTTTGGTTTCAAATTCTAAAATGTCTGCAAAGGTCAAATGAAGACTAAATTTAAATAAGAAAAAGGAGTTCCTTACACCCTTGACTGACTGTTGTGCTTAACCCTCTCAGATGTATGATTATAGCTTGGACATGTGGAGTTTGGGCTGTATGTTAGCCAGCATGATCTTTCGAAAGGAACCCTTCTTTCATGGACAGGACAACTATGACCAGGTGAGCAAACACCATCTGGCTCTTAACTCTTTTGGGGTGCATATCAAGCAAATAGTACCATTAAATAGGTATACTGCCCTTGAGCCACTAAGTATCACTCATTGTCTGCATATACACTTTTCTCTAAGACACAGTATTTTACAAATTTTGATAGCTGCCAGGCCCCCACAGATAGAGAGACAGATAATACTGTCTGGACGCAGCTTACAAAGTACAACTATGAAGAAGTCTAATGAAACTAGATTCTAGTCGTAAATTGTGATGCCCCTGTAATCATCAGCTTCAAGAAGATGATTGTTGTAATTCATGCTATCATTCTAAAAGCAGTTTGGAAATTGGGATTCTTGTGAACTTAGTGCCCTTGGGTCTGCTTGCCTGCCCTAAAGTCTGGTCGGAATCTGGCCTCTGGGAACGTGATGATGAGGCAGTCTTCTGATTTTCTGGCATGGCACTTTCCGGCACTGTGCTCAGTGATTTGGTCAGTTTGTTTTGTGTTTCAGCTTGTTCGCATTGCCAAGGTTCTGGGTACAGATGAGCTGTATGGGTATCTGAAGAAGTATCACATAGACCTAGATCCACACTTCAACGATATCCTGGGACAGTAAGTAAGAGAGTGAGAGAGCTAAAGAGCTTTAACTTACTGTTTGTCACAGTGGAGGTTAGCCAAAAGCACCTTTTAAAATTCCTTCACCTTTGAAATCAGATCAAAATTGAAATAGCCTTTTCTCTCATGAGGTTTTTTTTTTTAACTTATTTTGAGATACTCGGGCATTGTTTTCATGTATCTTCTAATCATTTTACTTGTCTAAAAGACAAACTAAGGAGCTCTGGTAGCATAGTGAGTAAAGCATTGGCTGCTAACCAAAAGGTCAGCAGTTCAAACGCTCTATAGGAGAAAAGTGAGGCAGTCTGCTTCTGTAAAGATTTACTGCCTTGGAAACCCTATGGGGCAGTTCATCTCTATCCTAAAGTGTCACTGTGAGTCGGAATTAACTTAATGGTAGTGGGTTGGTTTTTTGAAGGGGAAAGATAACCTGTTTATCAATAGAAAATGGAAAACAGTAAAATCATAATTTTACTCAGGAGAATAGCTTTCTGGTATAGTACCTGCCTATTTTAATGGCAGATTCAGAAAATTTATGATGCTGCTTTGAATGAGATTGTAAAGTTTTTTACTGTACTGTGTGGTGGATCTTCTAAAAGGTAGCAAATTTTAAAACATACTGAGTTTTCAGGTACAGTGCTGTGGTACTAAGAAATAATTTTTGATTTCTGAGAATAGCTTTTTGAAAACATCTGATGACCAATAAAAATTGGTCAAGCCTCATCCCAAATTGACTAAAAGCCTGGGGCTAACCTAGAAAGATTCCACGATATCTAAATCAGATCTTAGGCATTTTGATTAATTCCCTTTATCGTGAAATGTTGTTTTGATTCAGATGTTGTGATTGTAACTCTGGGGGTGGGGAGGTGCCCCGAAGAATGAGATTTAATCCCTCCCTCAATGAATTTATAGTCCGTACAATATTGTTGGCTGTAGCCCAAATAGATAAGAATTCTTGTTGACTTTAGTCTCAGAAAATTAATGCTTCACTTTTCTCCTCAGACACTCACGGAAACGCTGGGAAAACTTTATCCATAGTGAGAACAGACACCTTGTCAGCCCCGAGGCCCTAGATCTTCTGGACAAACTTCTGCGATACGACCATCAACAGAGACTGACTGCCAAAGAGGCCATGGAGCACCCGTATTTCTGTGAGTCCCAAGCAGCTGTTTTCAGAGGGCACAGTTTGTTAAAGGAAAACAGTCTTCTCTCTTATTGTTGAAGTAAGTCAGGAGAATTCTAGGTATTTCGACTGGCTCATCCTTGGAGTTTGGCCTTGTTAGTTGCGTACTATTGGGACAACTTTGAAGATCAGTTTCCTGGTTCTCAAAGGTGTTTGCTTGTTTACTGCCGGGCTCCTGTGAGTCTTATCTGTGTGACCATCCCTGTGTCCCTGGGTGAAGAGAACACAAGTATCTAATAATTGTTCTCAGTATGTACGTTTGTGTGGAAACCTCATCAAAGGTGATTTCTCACCTCCAAAAACAAGTTAATTAGTGAAAATTGATAAGGTAACTATAATGTGCTATTTCTGAAGAGAGACGTAAATAAGTAAAAGGAATTTGAGAAAAGAAAGGCACTGTGGGAAGGTCTCACTAAAATCCTAATTGACTCTCTGTCTAGAGCCTCACTTAGTACGTGTGCATATTCTGTTTCTGCGGCTGCGTGTTGTTCTGCATGCAGGCAACTCTTGCCGCTGATAGAGTATTGTTTTGAAGAAGCTTTACTCTTTTCAGCGAGGTAAGACAAACGTAGTCCAGTCAGTGAGGAGAGTGGGGAATAAGGAAAGTTGAATGACTTGTCTTAGTTCACTCTCTGAATCCAGATGAACACTTTCAGCCTTAAAGTTTTTGTCTATTGCATGACCAATACACGGTCTTTCCTTCTTTTTTTCCTTTGGAGATTAACTAAATTCTTGCCTGAATTTTTCACCACTGATGGTCTTGGACCTTTTGGCCCATTTGTTTCTGATTTTAGTTGTCATTGGGTCGACTCTGACTCATGAAGGGAACAATGCCTGGTCCTGTGCCAGCCTCATAGTTGTTGGTCTGTTGCACCCTGAAGTCCATCTGTCTCGTGGCGGGTTCCCTCGTCTTCCTGGCCTTCCCCGTAAGCGCACATGACAGCAGATTTACAAGTTTACCTTCAGCCTGCTAGACCGCAGCCAAGTGAAAGTCAGGTGTCTAGTCTCTAGCACATTTAGCTTTTTTTTGTCCTTTGAGTTAGACTGAATTAAGAACATGGATGGCTATAATATGTCATCATGACCTGTCTTTTAGTTTTCTGTGTGTACGTCATACTTAAGTAAAAAGATTTTTTTAATTATTATTGCTTAAAATTGATAAATTTTCTAATAGATCTTTTTATTCACTCATTCCTCTGAAGTTTTATTAGGGTTTGAATTTGGTATTAGTATTTAAATAAAATGGCATAAGGAAATTGGTGGCCATGTTGAACTGTGGGAAATGAGGATTTCTGTGCCGCTTTTTTCCTGGGTCTCGGCAGTTGAGTTCTAAGAGTTGATGACAAGAGCAATTCCCCTGATCAGTTTTCAGTGTCTGTTTTTTATAGACCCTCAATTATGTGGCAAAGGTTTCTCTTTTCTTCCCCCCTCTTGCCCTGCTGACCCTGTCTGTGTTTCTCTTTCGCGGTGGGTGGAAGCAGGGTTTGTTGTGGCGTTCTTTCCTGCACTGACCTGCCCTGAGCCGCTGCCCTTTATCCTGTTCTCTTACAGACCCTGTGGTGAAGGAGCAGTCACAGCCGTGCGCAGACAACGCTGTGCTCTCTAGTGGTCTCACGGCAGCACGATGAAGACGGGAGAGCGAAGGGTAATGCGGCATTGATGCTTGCCAATAAAACCAACCAACCAAAACACACACCTTGAAGGAAACTACAGTGTGATAAAAAGCAATTCTAATCATTCCTTCCAAATGCGAAGAAGAGAGTAAAGACCTAAAAGTCAAAAAGAAAGAAAGAAAGAAAGAAAAACTCCCCAACACTAGTTTACAGGGAACTGCCCATTGTGGCAGCGTGACAATGCACACAGTTCAGGATTCGGGGAACGCTCCCTTTGGAATGCATGGGAGATGAGACTCGGAGTTGTTGTACATCATTTACCTTTATTTAACAGAAGACCACTGTTGAATTAACCCGTTCAATCAACAAGCTCTGAATATCTGACTTCCTATATATTCCATTGTGGTCTGGGTTTCCTTTGGCGAGATTCAGGCTCAAGTTTTAGCAAAATGTCAGCAGTCTATACTGACACACCAGCCTCATTTAAGAAAAGGAAATATTAAAACAGTGACAGTATTTCTTTTCTTTTTTTTTTTTTTTTTTTAAGCTCTTTTACAAATTCATGTTTTATGTATTTTTTTATGACACGAGCTCTCCAGGAAATGTACCTCATCTCTGCAGTTTTCCTCTAAGTGTATGTATTCATTTGGGAGCAAACTGCAGTCACTTTCTCAAAAGAATTCTCTTTGATGTCAGGTGGCATCACTTTAGACTTTGGATGCCATGAACAGGTCCATTAGTCTTATCAGAAGTTAGATGCCGAGTGTGTAACTCGGAGCTCACTGTAACCTTTGTTGAGTTGCATAACTATAAAATCTTATTGCTCTTTTTTTGTTTAGGCTTCCCCTCCCCCACATTTTTTAAGCCTTGTGGGAAACTCACCATTTTCCACACATCCCTCTGCACACCTATCTTACTGCACCTCTCTGAAACAAAGACATTTTGTTCACAATCGTAACTAAAGCTGGACAGTTAGTTGGTCGGGAGGGAGAACAATGTCCATTAACGTTTTATTAAAGAAAGAATGGGTGGAAGAAGTGGACGCCTCTTCCCTTTTTTTCCCTTCTTTTTAGCCAAGTGAGAGAAACAGTTTCCCACTACAATCAGGGCCATATGCATTTTTAAGCTCCGGTGTGTTATACATGAATGTGATGGAAAAGATAAGTTTTTTTCGCATGCAGGTACTGAAGTTGTGTGAGCCAGGCCACCCAATAACCCAAGCAACTGAAAGGAAAGGCGTATACCAGGAGCTTGGGGAAGAAGTGGAGCTGTTGGAGCAAGTCTTTGGATTTGGATCCATTGTGCTAATCTGCACATTAGCAAAGGAAGCTAGATTTTTGTTTAAGAAAGAAAATAGGGCTGATTTCATTTTGATGCCTTGTCACCAACATGGTTTGCAGGTATTCAGTCCCCTTACCCCAGCTGCCCTTTGGAGTCCCAGCTACAGAGCCTTGCCGTAGCTGTGGAGACTTCACACACCTAGGCTAGAGCTAGAGGTGTCGACCACCACATCCCACTTTAGGATTTCTCTATTAACTATTTAATAATGCCATACATTTTTATAAGGTTAGATTGTTTGTTTGAAACATCTGTTTACATTCCATATTCCAATAAAATCATATTGGTATTGGTAGCAGGTCCTATCTCTAAATGTAGATTCTATTTTTGTCGTTTGGTCTGTGGGAACTTAAAAAGCAAAGAAAACTCTTCTCTTACTATAGAGTTGAGTTGACAGATTCAAAAATAAAATAAGAGCCCAGAGTCAGGAAATGCATTCAGTTAAGGTTCTCGTACCAATACTGCCCGCCTGCATTGCACATCTGTACTTTAACGTATACAGTTGTTCTACCTGAAAATCAGAAATGACATAGATCTCGTCTGAACCTCTCTCAATGTGTCAGGCAGCAAAACTCAGTGTTTTGGATTGTCAGAAGCCGCCTAATGTGCCCTTATAGGTAATACTGGGTTATTATCAGGGAGATGTGCCACTGTGTATCTTTCCTGCCTCCCTACCTCTCGTCTCCCTCCTCACCCACTCTCTTTCCAGCCCCCACCCCCTTTTTTTTCCTTGTAATTGCTTGTCTGGACCAGTCAGGAAGAAGTCTACTGAAGAAGCTGGTGACGCAATAACCCCGTTTTTTCCCGGTGATTCCCCCAGAGGCAGTGAAAGCACCTGGAGGAGCAGAACCAGCTAGTCTCCCTCTGCCGCGCTTCTGTGATCCTGGTTTAGTGTAAAGCTGACCTGCCTGGCCTGGGGTTCTGTCACTGCAGCTCGGACGTGGAGCCATTCTTACTTTTATGCATAGTTTACTTTTCCAACACCTGTGCTTTTCACCTCTCCTCATGTCTTAGACACAGAGCATAGCTGAGTTTGAAAGGCTCACTCCCTTCTGCGTCTGATCTTGATACCTGGACTTGCTGGCTCTCCAGTCTGGGCTGTTCTTTCTCAAACTAAAGTGAGTCTCATCCAGACCTCTCTCTCCAAAAAACCGTTGTGTGTCCAGAAGGACCTAGCTCCCCTGAGATTTAGCTGGGTGAGGAGCTGGTCTTGGAGAGCTCCAGAAGGGGGTTTGGAGGGAGGGGATGTAGGGGGAGGAGTCTCTTTAGACTAAGTTATGGTAGATTGACTCACTCAATATCCTTTTTAGTTAGCATATTTTTTCTTCAACTCATCTCAGTAATTTTTATTAGGCTTTTTGTTTGCTTCATTACCTTATTATAACAGGTTAAAAGTGCCTATGATAGGACTTAATTACTTCCTAAAGAAAAGCAAAAAATATGGGGAACAGGGTAGTGTTACACTATCATCTCAGGTACTGCCAGTGTTCATGAACATAGACCTGGTCTGGTGAGAACAAAAGGTTCCTATGCCAAAAACGGTTGCTGAATCATAGTTTATTGGCCACAACTGTGCATAAATGCAGGGCTTTGCTTGGGCTGAGAAAGTCCGTGGTGAGGGCAGAGCTAATGAAGTGCTGAGTAATGTTGTCATCTGTGGCTTGGCTGCAGTTCCCCTTCCCTGGATCCTGTCAGCTGGCCTGGCCCCTCTCCTATCCCTGTGGTAGGTGCTGGGGTGGGAGAAGCCAACAAGAGTATAATGCAGACCACGCCTCCTGGGTCTTCCCAGGTAGAGGAGTGCCAGTGCCAGTCAGTGAGGCACTTCCCAGCACTCACCTGGATCTCCTGACACATTGCATAGCACATCAGTCCTCATGAGGCCCAAAGCAAATGGATTCCCTTGCAGAGAAGGAAAGTAATCCGACTGATTGATTAAGGGGAACAGACAAGAGCTCATCATCTTTTGGGGCTCTGAAAGAGTGGCTGGAGGAGGGGACTGTTAAAAGAAGGAAAGCAACCAGTGAGAGCAGCCCAAAGGTAGATGTGGAGGAGGAATAATGGGAGAAAACCGGGAGGCCTGAGCCCCTGACCTGGAGTGGGCCCTGAGGTGGGCACTGTTCCAGGGTTGGCGCCAGCGCGACTTGAAAGGTGGTGCTGTCCGGTCAGAAGCTGAAGCCCAGAGAGCTGGGTGCATTGGGGCTCAAGGTCTGTGCCTACTCAGGGAAATGACGGGTTCTCAGGTGCTGCGTTGAGGAGGGAAGCAAACTACTTTGAAACACAAGCAACAATGGAAGAATTTTTATATGTGCATTGAAGTAGATGTAAAGACCCAGTTCGTTGTTTCATTGAAAGCCAGGTCAAATTGGTTAGTTAGAAACCTGTGTTGCTCTGTGAGCACCCACAGGAAAAGCAAACTTCCCTCCTTCTATGAATAAAAAGGAGTGAGTAACAGCAGATGAGAGTCATTTAAATGTAGACCATTCCAAAAGCAAAGCAGGGTCCACACGAGTGCTCAAGAAGCCAAAGGTTGTCAGTGAGCTTAATAAGATGAATAATGCCCTGCCTTTAAAAGCGAACCCCAGGTGAGGCGGTGGGGAAACGTCTGGCCAAGAAAACCAGTAATAACCTGCTTTTAAGCTACATGGATATGTTACTGCAAACAACCCCAACCAGGTATTCGAGGCTGGGTAAAGTGCTGTCACGGTGCGTTAAACAGGCGATGCATTTTTGTGTAGAGACTCAATGTGCTACAAATGTGATACATACCCCTGAGCTGCATGTATTGGGGATTGTTTTTAAAAAAGAAAACTTTCATTGACTCAATAAATTAACAGTTTTTCATCTGCTGGTTCGTCTTGCTGTAAATGGTGACTGAGGTTGGGACAGAAGTCATGACCCCCAGCCGGAAAGCTTGGATAAATCTTCAAGAACCATGAAGCAGACTATTCCTTCCGTTTGCAGAAAAGCAACACTGCCTGGGTTGTGATCTTAACAAGTGACTTCTTCAGACAGTTGGCCACCTCTGTTTGTATCCCTGGATGACTGATGTGTGGTGTATGTGCTACTGCCCTTAGAGGAAAGAAAAATGCCATGTTAAATCCTGTTCTCATCAATAAAAATGTTGACAATAACCAGACTTCCCAAGTGGGAGACCAGCTATTGCTATGAGGACCTTAACTTGTGTTTCCTGTCTCCTGGGGGAGGGGAGGGATAAACCTTAGATGCAAAGATGAGTCTGTGGTTAGCAGAAGTGGGACTACAATTGGTGTCGTAGTGGGGATTGGTGTGTTCCATGGTACTTCAAAATTATACCACTCAAGGCACCTGCTGCTTGGAATTGTCCTGGTTTATTGCATGACTAGCATTTGTGGCAAATATTCTGCATTTGTGAGGCTCCCCTGACCTCTGTTCCTTGTACAAGTATGGACACGTGGGCATGTACTGTCATTTGGCAGAGGGTGATGTCTTTAATGTGTTTCCTTCTCACGGACCCCTCTGGAATTGGAAGCTTGGAAATCAGTTGTTGAAGGTGCTTAAAGGCAAATAGAGTAACTTATTTTGTTACTTTACGCACCAAACAGCCTTTCTCAAATACTAAGTAGAACCCTTCCTTTACTCAAAGAGAGTTTTCGTGAAATGGTTTTTCTGTGCGGCAACTTCGGGTAGAAGCATGCATAGTTCTTTGCTGTGGAACTGTTCCACGAGGCTGCTTCTAGGGCTCTGCTGCTGTGGAAGCCCACCACCCACTTCCCTGAGCTGGACATGGAGAAACGTTTTTCAGGCCATGCTAGGAAGCTCTTTGCCAGGGAAGGTTAAAAACGTTGGAGCTCACCGGTCTTTATTAGTAGACTCAGTACTTTCCCTGTGTAAATGCAAAAAATCGTCTTCTGATTCTTAGTCCCAAGATTTCTCAGTAAGTCTGAGGTGAGGTCTGATAAGGCACTAGCCTGGACTGCAGGACTTGGTGTATCCCAGGGCTGCTTCAAGTACATACCAGAGCTCCGTGAAGCTTGACTTCACAGCATAGTCAAGAGGCTTCTGTGCTTCTAAACCAGCACCCTGGACCTAAGGGAAGTGGTAGACCAGGCCACACCACGTACTTTCCAAAGTTTTCCTGTTACTCACACCAGGCCTCTATTAATGGTGACCAGAAGAGGATGCTGTTTGGAACCTAGTAGAAGGGGAGTTGCTACTAGGTTCCGCACACAGTGGCACAGGAAAGTCAAGCTTGCGTACTGTTCCCAGCACTACGTGAAGGAAGTCACAAGTGGAGACCTGTTCCTCACTCCCAGTCAGATTGATTAATGCCATCTTTCCCTCCTCCCATCTTTTTCCCCAGGTCTGTTGCTGTTCCTCCCACTTTTCCATAAGCAGAACAAGAACCAAATCAAACGTCCTAACGTGTGTAGAGAGATCACGTTCTGTGAGCAGACACGAAACGGTGGCAGGTTACGTGAGCACGAACTAGACCGGCTGAAGGGCAGCCTACCACCGTATATCAAACCTCACTTCCGAATGTAAAAGGTTCACACGCCTTTGGCTTCCTGTTGACTTCCTCCTGACCCAGAAAGCATGAGAGATGTGAAGGGTATGCAAATTGGTTGTTGGTTATGGTGGCTTCCCGCACCCCTTGACCCAACCTGTGGCGGCCTGTTTCTCCAGCAAACCACATTAACTAGCGGACCACAGACTCCACAGTGGGGGGACCGGGGGATATATGGCATGATGGGCAGTTACGTATTATAATTTTAAAAGTATATATTATTGAATAAAAGGTTTTAAAAGAAATGTATGGAGAGTTTTCAGTATGGAAGGAGCCATTAACTGACTGTGGCCACAGAGGACTAGATGGAATAGAAATTTCTGTGCCAGTTTCTGGCCAGAGGAAGACAGGAGTCCCGTCTTAAGGACACTTTACAGAATTGAGGAATGTTCAGAGGTAGGGAGTAAGCCAATCCTTGGAATGGGGCAAACCCCGGATAGCTGGAGTCGGGGAAGCTGGACATTGCCTTGACCACATTCCCATTGACCAGTGGCCTCCGTGGCCCCTCCTCCCAAAGCAGGGAGTTGCCCAGTGTAGGTGAGTGGTTTCTGGTCAGCTCGGGGGGGATGCCTCAGACTGGTCTTTACTTTCCCCATTGTCTGTATCTGCTCATCTTGTTCCATCTCCCCATCTTCTCTCCACCCCCTACCTTCATTCATTCAGAAAAGGTATCTTTCTTGGAGGATGGTTGAGTCTGTTCCCTGAGGCAGGGAAGGGGTCAGGGCTCTCAGATCCTGGAGCTGCTTCTGAGCCCACTCTGAAGTTCAGTGAACTGGAAGAGAAAGAGCCCATTCCTGAACGGGAGGGAGAAATGGGGACCCCAGTTGTGTTTGTTAAATGAAAAGGCAAAACCTGTTTGACAAATGAACCTTCGCCAATTCCCTCAGTCCTCCTTCCCAGGGCAGCGGTGCCAGGGAAGGTGAAAGCTGGAACAACCTGGTGTCGGCCCAGCCTTGTCTCCGACTGCTGGCCTATGTTCTCCATGGCCTGGAGTGGGCAGAAGCGATGGGCAGGTCCTGACACCCAGGCAGCGGATGGAGTGCCAGCTGCTTCTCCACAAAAGCCACTTGGTCTGCTTGGAGAACATCCCTCCTCCTGTCTTCTCTGCTGCTTGTCCTGAACAGGTGACTGTGTGAACCAAGATATGAGGGGAAAGTGAAGAGGGGCCACTGTAGCACGCTAGTGTCCCTTGGGCCAGCTTCTGTTGTATCTGAGCAGTGCCTCAGGTGGGGGAGTTTGAGACTGTGCACACTCCCAGGACAGCTGCAAGGAGGACCCACGGGGCTACCGCCACCAACTCTGTACGGCCCCCAGGACGCCGAGCAGATGGACTTGGCACTCTCCAGCTTCATCCCAGGCCTCGTTTCTCAAGCTGTCTCTCTGGTGGGCCCCATCTGACTCAAGGCTCCACACATTCCTGCTGGTTTTTCAGATTTCTGGAAAGGCACATAAATACCTCATTATAATCAACATGTCTCTGAATGATTTCTCTCTCCTAAGCTCCTACGACGTGTACTTTGTATGTGCGCGTTTATATCTCTGTTGACTGGCACATGTTTGAGGTTTCTTCTCGATACAGAGGATCTTGTCTGAACAGTTCCCCAGTCTGGGAACTCTTTGTCATGTAGAACTTCAGTCTCCACGTTCCTTTTCAACCAAGACTCTCCTTAACTTCTCAGTGTGAGTCTTTCCCAGAAACCCGTGAAAATGCAGGGGATTCTGGTTTTATGGACAATAATTGAGGAGTGGGAGAGGATCTAGTTGTCACAAGAATGGGAAAGAGGGGTTTTTGTTTAGGCTTTTGTATTTTCTCTTTTGAGGACAAGGACAGTCTAAAGTTCAACCACAACATGCTTGGAAATTCAGATCAATTCACTTCTTCCAGTAGTCCTATGTGGGGGAAAAATACTCCTATGTGTGTTGTTGTTGTATTTTTTTAAAGTAGTATTTATTGCATTGTCCTGATTACCAAAGTGATTTAAAAAAAAAAAAATTCAAACATTACAGCAAATTGAAAAATGAAAGACTCCCCCAACACCACACACAGACACACATGCACATGCACACACACATTGTCCCTCCCCCCACTTGGAGGTACTCTATAATTTGGTGTATATCTTCTGATTTTTCTCTTGTGCATAGGAAAAACATTTCCTTTGCATGTTTTTAAAGTACTGTGACTTTCAGTTTTACAGAAATGTAATTCTTTACAGCAAGTTGTGTTTTACTTAGGTGTGGTAATCAACTTACATTAGCATAATAGACCTACCTCCCCCTTTTTCATGGCTGCATAGTATTCCATTGCGTGACTGGACAGTTGAAGCAGTTCCATACAGATGGACTTTGGGCTGTTTCTTGGTTTTCAGTGTTACTTGTGTGCTGCCCTGAGTGAATACACACTACATTTCTACCCAGTATAAAATTTTAAGAAAGTATTACTGTGACATAGGAAGTTTTTAGAAAGGGCATTATTAAGATTCCAAGAAAGCAGTCTTCCATTCCTTCACTCGGTGGTGTAGTTGAAACGATGATGACTTTAGTCACAGTACTCTTGCAGGACTCTTGTCAGGCACATGAGACATGGTACCTAGGGCCTGAGCTTTGCAGGGGCCTGCAGACACGTTTGAAACCTAAAAAAAAAAAAACTTTAACATAGGAAAATTGCAAAATAAAAATTAATACATTTAATTAAATGTCTTAGAAATGTACGATCCTATAAATTTCATTAAGGAGCTCTGGTGACATAGTGCCTGAGGCATTTGACTGCTAACCAGAAGGTTGGTGGCGTAAAGCGACCAGCCACTCTGGAAGGAAGACTGGGCAGTCTACTTCCATAAAGATTTACCACCTTGGAAACCCAATAGGGGTTGCGTGACACTTATGTTAAGTTCAGTATTTGCTTTTCAAAATTATTTTCTTTCGCATGATAATTAGTAGAGTCACAGCCAATCATAATGTAATTTCAAAAGCAAATTCTAAAGATCCTTTCAGAAGTTTCATAGGAAAAAGTTACTTTGAATATGAAAACTAAGAGCATTTGAATATGTTTGGAGCACTGGAGAGAGGCCTTCAAAAGTAAGTGTGCCTCGAGGGCCAACAAATGTTTTACAGTAGACCTGGCCAGAGGAGAGTGGGCCTTGGAGTGGATGAGCAGCCCATTTCAAATACTGTTCCATTGGCAGTAGCTGATGTGCTGCTGGTTTGCATCTCACATGTGTATTGCTTTGTGACAGAAGTCAGACTCAAAGGGTTATATGCCAAATGTTTCCATTTACGTGACATTGTGGAAAAAACAAAACTGAAGGATGAAAAGGAACCCTGGTGGCTCAGTGGTTAAGTTCTTTGCTGCTAACCTAAAGGTCAGTGGTTTGAGTTCACCATGCGCCACAGGAGAAAAATCAGTTCCTACTCATAGCCACCCCCAGAGGGTTTCCGAAGCTATAAATCTTTATGGAAGTAAACTGCCTCCTCATCTGAAATTCTGCGGAGCGGCTGGTGGATTCAAACCACTGACCCTTTGGTTAGCAGCCAAATGCCTTCACCACTACAACACCAGAGCTCGGACTGATGAAAACAAGATGATGCACTGGGTTTTAGCACTGAAATGAGAGTTTTGTGCCCTGAAAGGGATGCTTACCATTGCTGGTGTTTTAAATGATATATCTTAGTTATTAAAGTTGTACACTTTAAAATCTAACTTGTCTCAAGTCTTTTAAGACCAATTTACAAATCTTGTTATAGTCACATCTACTGGGTTTTGTATATAAATATGAACACTTATTTTTACTTAATCTTTGATGTTTAATTAATTGAAAATTTTATGGGTTAAATTCTCAACATTATGATTACACACTTAATCTGGTTTCCCTAGTCATTTCAAACTCACATATTTAATCTTAATCTGATTCCCACGAACAATTCCAATAGCTAATAAGAAAGCTAAAATCTAACAAAATCTTCATAAGCAATCAAACACTACTTAACAAATCTTAAATCTAAACTCATAGATAGAATAAATCAAAATCTTTTAAACATTCCTTGTCTACAAACTTAAATTTTCTCATTTTTCAATTAAAATGATGAGTCCCTGGGTGGCACTAGTGGTAAATCATTCAACTACTAGCCAAAAGGTCAGTGGTTCAAATCCCCCCAAAGGCTCAATCTGCTTCCCAAAGGTCACACCCTTAAAATTCCTGTGGAGCCGTTCTTCTCTTCACACATGGGGTCACTGTCAGTAGGAAACAACTCCACAGCAACTAACAACAATCATAAACCAAAATAACCTGTTGCTAATGAATTGATTTCCAACTCAACTCACAGTGACTCTGTAGGGCAGGGTTTCCTAGGTTTCCTAGGCTGAGATTTTTATGGAAGCAGGCCCTCATCTTCCTTCTGTAGAGTGGCTGGTGGGTTCAAACCGCTGAACTTTTGGTTAGTAGCCGAGTACTTTAACAACAACAACAATAATAGCTATAAAAAATTGTAGTCAATGTCATGAGACAAAGTGTATGTGAACTACAGTATGGAAAGTGAATTTGCTCTGTAAACTTCCACCCAAATCACAATAAAAAATAAATTAATAGCTATAAGTTAAAATCAAAAGTCTAATTTCAGATTCCTTTAAGCATTTCAAATTAAATTCAGAACATCAGATCCTCTGTCCCCAAAAAACATTATCAACTTGTCTGGGCCATGATTCTCAGTGGTTTGGCGTTATGTAATGATGTGACCATTGCCTATGATGTGATTTGATGTGATCAGCCAATGACTTGTAAGGGCATTAGGGTAAGAATTACTCAGGTCACAGCCCTGATCCAAGGTAAGGGAAGTTTCCCTGGGTGTGGCCCGCATCCCCCTTTATCTCACAAGAGATAAAAGGAGAGAGAAGTGAGAAGAGAAGGAGGGACCTGACTACCACCAAGAAAACAGCTGGGATCAGAGCACGTCTTTTGGATCCAGGATCCCTGCACTGAGAACCATCTAGACCCAGGGGAAGATGGATGCCAAAACACATGCAGATCTCCAGATCTCTAGCTCACAGAGGCTGGGAGGAGACCAGGACCTTCCTCCTAACCTCTGAATCAACAGAAAGAGAGAGCTCCTAGAGCTGGCACCCTGAACTTGGACTTCTAGCCTCCTAAACTGTGAGAGAATAAATTTGTTAAAACCATCCACTTGTGATATTTCTGTTAATAGCAGCACTAGATAAACAAAGACATCCTCAAAATCATTTAAAAAAAAAATT